GGTGGTGGGAGGGTTCTTATCCGGGAGAAAAGATCCTGCCCAGAACATTTTCTTTCATGTCTCCCTACCTAGCTGCAAGGGAGGCGAGAGGCGAATATGTGTCTGAAAGAAATGGGTTTGCCATGACGGTCCATGATTCACCTGCTAGGACACCTGCCAGGGGCTTGTTGGCAGGAAGCCATGCCTGCAGTGTGGCCAGGCCCTGAGGGCTACACCTGGGGTGGGCAGAGATTAACCTATAAATGAGGCTGACCTGAAGAAGGCTGGTGGAAGTAGGCGCTCAGGCATGTACACACCAGTGCTTTCACTACACAGATTTCAAGTGCTTAAATCCATCAGAGATTCCTTTTCTTATCCTCCTATAAGTCAAGTGATCTGGCTGAAAAGAAAGCCAAAGAGCTACTGAAAATATTCAGCAGTCACAGACTTGCAAGAAAATATTTCCGAGATTGAATTTTTCAGTTTTTTTCTGAAGTAGCACTTCAAGAGATTTAATGGGGAACAGGACTTATTAATTGCCTCAAATACTGAAATGTGTGCCTAGTTCTTTGTGATTATTAGGTAAGGAGATGGGTCAAGATCTAAGGAATGGGTGAAGAGAGAAAGGGAGAAAGGAGGGGAACTAATAGATACAGACAACTGTATGGTGTTATCAGAGGGTGGGGGTGGGGAGTAGTAAAAGGTAAAGGGGCCAGATATTTGGTTGAGGGGAGATGATGTGACTTTGGGTGGTGGGCACTCAATGCGATATACAGATCATGTGTCACAAAAATGCACACTTGAAACCTTATTAACCAGTGTCATCCCAATAAATTTAATAAAAACAAATAAATAAAACTAAAGGGAAAAAGCAAAAAAGAAGGAAACACTAAGAAAAGAAAATAGAGAGAGAGAGAGAGCAGACACCAGGAAAAGCGGTGGTGGGGACAGATGAACAGACACCCGTGGGGCATGGTGTTAAGAGAGGTCCCCAGGATGGACGTTACCAGAGGGCATGTGGCCGTTGAAGCCAGCGCGTGGAGTCCTAGAATCTCAGGGTCAGAAGGGACGTTGAGATTATATAGGCAGTATTCTGCGCTTCAGTTGAGCACATGTAAGTTGTTATTTTTCTCCATTTCTCTTTTAACCAGCTCATTACCTCTTTAGCAGTTTAGTTTCAGTTTCCAGCAGTGAAACTTTCATCATACACCTTCACAGGTCTGGCCTGAAAGCTGGGGCTGGTTGCCACATGGGGGGCGGCGGGGGCAGCAAAGTGGGTCCTGTTGCCACTGACTTGATGAGCAGAATTGTATTCCCTGCTGGGCACTGACTTAACCTGGATTCCTTATGTGGGGGGCGGGGCAGAGGGCAGGGACTGGAAAGGATATGAATTCGGTTTCCATCTTGCCTTCTCTAGTTCAGGCTAATAGCTGGTTGATTCATAAATTCTTAAGACTCTCAGTGTAATGGAAGTGTTTGTTTTCGATCACCGTCCTTGCATCTCCCACAGGGATATCACATCCAACACGTACACCGTTAGCATGTGAGGTATTTCCCCACCTTACTCAACAAATGCTTAGAAAGTACTGAGTCTGGCATGCAAGGTGGCATATATGCCAAGTTCCGAGCACTCAGCAGGACCCCTGCCCTCGGCCAGCTCAGTCCGGAGGGAAGCGGGCATCACACAGAGTTCATCAGTTATGACCATCATGTATTAGTGCTTAGAATAGTTGCTAGGAATTAAATAGAAGGTTTCCATGAGGAGGTGGCCTTCAGGGACAAGCAGAGGATAGCAGCACCGCACGGAAGGTGTAAACAGGCCCCTCGGCAGGGGGCGACATGCGGAGTTCTCAGAGACACAGGCATTTTAAAAGAGAAGCGAGAAGGTGGCAGAGTGACTAGAGTGTGGACAGTGACAAGGAGAGGGGAGCGAGGTGGGACTGCAGGCCCGATCTAACCTTGTGCGCCGTGGTGAGGGTTTGGACTTTTTCCCTGAGAGATGCGGGAAGCCAGTGTTGAAGTCAGGAGTAGCACGGTCAAATCTGTTGGTGATTGTGTGAAGAATGCATTAATGGGACAGAGGCTGTGCTGGAAGTAAGGGGCAGGTAAACACGTGGGAGTAGATTAGGGGAGATGCAGGGGGACTGTGAGGAGGATATTGGGTGAATGTTGGACGTAGAGTATGGAGGACTTGGCACTGAGTGGATGTGGGGGATGAGGAATGGAGAGGGTTTCAGGGGCCCTGGCTTGAGTGACTGTTGAGTCCATGACACTTGATAAGATCACCTAGGGAGAAAATACAGGATGAGCAGACACATGGTCCTTGGATCAAGAACCCCGTGAACTACAGAATTTTAAACTCTAACAGGAAGAGTACCTGGCAAAGAAAAACAGAGACGTCGAGAATAGTATATAGTAAATCTACCTGCCTGCTCAAATCCAGATCCCAGACATCATCCCTTAGTCTTTCCTCCCTTTCCGTACCCCACACAGCTGGTCCTTCACCAAGTCCTGCTGGCTCCTCCCCCAGAGCATTTCCGTTGGCTCCAGCGTTGGCCGCACTAGTCCATGCAGTTGTCGTCTCTTGCCTGACATAGCAGTTCCTAGCAGCCGTTCCGCTCCCCACTCTGACCCCAACCCCTTCATAATACATTCTCTACAACCTGAGTGTCTAAAATGGGAACCAGTTG